ATCCCGGTCCCGGCCACCGCCCGCGGGCGGCTCCGGACGGGTCCCGCCCCGTCCGGCCCCATGCACCGAGCATCTCTCGGGGCTCTCCCCCGGTACCCCCGAGCATCCCCCCCACAAAGGCCCGGGGCAGGCAGCAGCAGTGGGGAGCGCGGCTGTGCTGCAGGAGAGCGCATTGTGCGGGACCCGACAATTAAAAGCGGATTCCGCTGTCAAAAGCAGGGACGCGGCTGCTGCCGCATCCCGGACCCAGCCAGGACCAAGCGAAGACGGGCTCTGCCAGCAGCCCTGACCCCCCCAGTGCTCACACACATTCCTGAACAAGCAGCCCATTTTACCCCGTTCCCGTTTCCCCCTGAGCTCCCAGCTCCCGGCAGGTCCGGGGCTGCTCTGCTGCCCTTGCAGGACCTGTGCCCCAGCGCGCTGCCCTGGGCCCGGCTCACCCGCACACACCCGGCCTGCTTTCGGTTTCTTTTCCCCGGCATGCCCAGCAGCACCGAGAAGATAATTTCCCCTTCCCACACAAAAGGAAAAAGCTTTCCCCCAGGAAGGCAGAGTGACTCATTAGCAATTTCTCATTTATTACGCCCTCGCCATCACCCGAGGGCTGTTCAGGGGAGCTGAATTGCCCGGCAGGTGCTGGCCCCATGGCACAGCTGGGCACAGCCCGGTGCCACCGTGCCTGTCCCCTCGGCAGGGCCCAGGCCAGGGGCTGCACCCCAGGGTGACAGCCCAGCCCCGAGCCTGGACAGGGTTTGGCACAACACCCCACAGACATGGATAAAAAAGATAAGAGTTAGTAAGGATAAAAATCAGTCGGGAGCACAATCCCAGATGTTTTCCCTCTCCCAGCAGCCGGAGGCTGAGCCCCCATGTCTGCATGGAGGGCACCACGAGCAGCCCTGAAATAACCTTGACGAAAGCACGCCCTGAGGCATCACTGGAGCGGCCCAGAGCATGAAAAAGGTCCAGAATTAAAACAGTTCTTTAAAAAACAGCAGCAGCTCCCTGGAGGAAGGAGGGCTTTGCGCTGGCCACTGTGACAAGAACAGTTTTGTCCCCCAGCCCGTGTGGGGCTGGGCTGGCGCTGCTCTCGGTGTCCAGGAGGCCTGGCTGGGGCAGGTGGCTCCCACAGTGTTGTCGGTGTCCCTGGGGTGTCCCAGCACGTTCAGCCCAAGCTGGAGTCACTGGATGAGCCCGGTGCTCTCGGCAGTGCTGGTGAAGGGCTCTGCCCTGCTGCCCCCCAGCTCCGCTCCCCAGCTCCGCTCTGGGACAGCAACGGGGGAGCAGAGTCAGGCTCCTGTCCTGCCCCTGGCTGGGACAGTTTGTTGTTCCCAGGAGCTGGTTCAGAGCTGTGTTTGGATTCAGGATGAGACTCCTGTTGATAAGAGCCTGATGGCTCAGCTGCTGCAGGGCAGTGCTTACACTGAGCCAAGGACTCCTCAGGAGCTGGGAGGGGGCAGAGGCAGCAGAGCTGTCCCCGTGCCCAGAGGGATGTTCCAGAGCACAGGGCATCGTGCTGAAGGAAAGAAACCCTGGGGGGGTTTGGCCGAGGGCTGACGGCCACTGCTCAGGGGCTGGCTGGGCATTGCTCAGTGGCTGGTGAGGAACCGCCCTGTGCATCACTGCCTTTGGATATTCCTTTATCATTATTACAATTTTCCTTTTCTGTCCTGTTAAACTGCCTTCATCTCAGCCCAAGGGTTTTAGCTTTTCTCTGATTCTGTCCCACCCCTCTGCAGGGGAAGTGAAGGGCTCTGTGGTGCTGAGCTGCTGCTGGGGTGAACCAGCAGAGGTCACCCTGAATTCCCAAGGCTGGGGAGACCAAATTCTTTGGAGGGGCTCCAGCTGACCCTCCCAGGAGCCCCTGCAGCCCCCAGACTGCTGCTCTGCATCTGGACAGGCCAGATCCCCGTGGGGGTCCTCCAGAGCCACACTCATCCCGTCCTGGGAGAGCAGCCCAGAGCCTCACCTGCCTCCTCCCAGCTGGGGAAATGCTGGAATCCTTCTAAGTCTGCAGACAGGAGGACTCGGAGAACAGGGTCCTGAGGACAGAGAAAGCTGGGCTGGGGGAGTGCTGGACACTTCCCAACCCCCAGGGCAGAGCCCCCAGCCGTCCCAGCGCCCTGCAGCATCCAGCTCTGTGAGAGGAAGGCTTGGGATGATGATGGTGCCGCGCTGAGCCCATCAGCCACAGCCTCCCTGGGCCTGGGCTGGGGTGGCCGAGGTCCCACACACCTTCAGGCCACAGAAGGCCAGCGAGAGGCCGTGCCTGCGCAGCTCCTGCAGCAGCTCTGCCAGCCCCACCACCACCGTGTAATCAACGCTGCTGATGTGGCAACAGTCCAGGATGACGGAGCGTGGTGGAGATGCTGCTGGAAGAGCAGAAGGTCGTGTCCCTGACGAGTGCAGAAATGACCAGCCCGGGGGTCACAGAGCCAGGACAGGGTGGGACAGCTCTGCTGTCACCGCTTGCACCCGCAGTCCTCGGGCAGCAGCCGCCACCCAGGGCTGAAGTGATCCAGGAGGTGACAGCCGTGTCCCCAGGGTGACAGACCTGCCAGAGCACGGCTGCACACCGAGTCCCGCAGGTGCTCCACGGCTGGGAAGTGCAGGCTGCTCCCCGGCTGGACCAGCAGCACCGTCCCCTCCGACACCTGTGCAGGGAGAGGAGACACAGGGAGCTGTGACCTTCCCCGGGCGGGGACAACGCCCGTGTCACTCACTGTCCTCCTGCATGGACTGCGGGAAACAGGAGCCCCCATCCCCCGGGGAAAACCCTCCTGCACTCAGCCCAGCGTCAGCAGGACAGGGACGGCCCGTGGCAGCAAGAGCAGGTCAGGAGCATCCCGCACACCTCACTGCCCTCAGGAGCCCCCTCCCAGCTCCCTGGCACATCCAAGGGGAGGGGTGAAGCCCACCTTTATTGGGGGCCTGGCAAGGGAGTAGAGCAGGAGAATCCCAGAAACCAGCACCCCAGCCACGATTCCATACTGAACCTCCCAGAAGCAGAGCAGGAATGTCACACAGAGGGGCACAAGGTCCAGCCCTGCAGGAGAGACAAGCCAGGCTCGGCTGTGGCTGGTCCTGGTGCCACAGGGCACAGATCAGCTCTGAGCAGAGCCGGGCCGGGAGGAACCCGCTCCGGGCGGGCGGCTGGGGCAGCCTCAGAGGAGCTGCGGGCTCAGCTCTGGGTGGGAGCCCTTGGAGGGGCCATGAACTGCACCCTTGGCATAACAAAGGTCTCAGGCACCGTGGGAAGCCACAGCGTGGGACACTGAGAGGGTGATGGGACACTGAGAGAGTGATGGGACACTGAGAGGGTGATGGGACACTGAGAGAGTGATGGGACACACAGTGATGGGACACTCAGTGATGGGACACTCAGTGATGGGACACAGAAGACAACCACCCCCAGACTTGTCTGTGAGGGGGTAAAAGGCTCCTTTGTTCTGGATCCCTCCTCAGGAACACCCAGCTCCAGCTATTCTGTTTAGTTAATGGCACCATGACTAAGTGTGAGACTCTGCAATGGGAAACCTGGTGAGGAAACCTGGTCTGAGTGAGTGGGGAGCGGGGAAGGAGCCTCTGTCCCAGCTCAGGGGGCCGCTTGTGACGGCGGGAGCGGCTCCTGCAGGACTGGGGAGTTTCCTTTCCAGGGGACCGCCCGTTCCCGACCGATGCCCTCACTCTTAACCCGCCAGAGCGTGCGGAAGATGCCAGCGTCGAACATGGGCACCACGGCCGAGATGATGACAGCGGCCAGCGCCGCTTTGGGGATGTAATAGAAGAGAGAGGTGAAGTACGCCAGGGACAGCAGGACCAGGGCACCTGCGGGAGGGGGGACCCTGAGCCACGGGCACCCCGACACCCGGGGATCCCCGACACCCGGGGGTCCCCAACACCCAGGGATCCCCGACACTGGGGTCCCTGACACCCAGGGGTCCCTGACACCCAGGGGTCCCTGACACCAGGGTCCCTGACACAGGGGTCCCTGACACCCAGGGGTCCCTGACACCCAGGGGTCCCTGACACCGGGGTCCCTGACACCCAGGGGTCCCCGACACCCAGGGGTCCCTGACACCCGGGGGACCCTGACACCCAGGAGTCCCTGACACCCAGGGCTCCGTGGTGCTCAGGGCTCCGTGGTGCTCAGGGCTCCGTGGTGCCCAGGGCTCCCCGGCACGGGCAGCAGCCCAGGGGCAGGCAGGGGCAGGGCTGTACCTGTGACGAGCCCCCCCGCGGGGGTGCAGACCCCTGACTGAGCATTCACCGCCGTCCTGCAAGGCAAACCCAAAACCCACACATCCCAGGCTGTGCAGGGCCGGGGCTGCTCCTGCCCAGAGACCCCGCCCGGGGGAACCACCCGCCCCATCAGGGAGGAACATGAGCAAGGCCCTGGCTTCCAGCTGGGCTGCTGGGGACCAGGACACGAGCTCAGGGACCCACCGGGGTCAGCGGTCTGACACACAGGATCTTGCAGAGCTCCCTCACCACGCAGCCCCAGCGAGTGCCCTGCTCCCCCCTG